CGCGAGTCCCATGGTAGGTTGCTGAGGAGCTGGAGTGGTAGTCCTGGAGGGCGGCTGTTGAGACATCGTCGTCGCAGAGAGGTCGTCGGAGTCTGTCTGTTGATGATGTGGCGTTTCGTGATTAGCTAGCGTGGGTGATGATGAACTGTGTGATGGACGTTGACTACTGCGGCTTGTTGTTGTCCTCAAGGGTGGATGTGAGTCGTGGACTGTGATGTGAGGTGTTCCGAGTGGCAGACGGCTAGATGGTAAAGCCGCAGCACCAAGGCGGCGGCGAGCCGGCATAGGGTGATCCCCAGAGCTGTGAGTGAGCTTGTGCAATTGTGTCAAACAATGTGAGATTCGCGATCAGATCTATCGTTGGGACGGTGCTTGAGCGCAGCTGCCGATCCAGACTTCTTCTTGACAGTAGGTAGTGCTTCAGACAAAGGTATTGCAATGTTGGCGTGTGTTGTGCAGCATCGAAATTGAGAGGAAGTGTGGCCCTTCACTTGAGCGGGCGGCAAGCGCTAGTGTATGTCTGTCGGATGGAGAAGGTGCGACCCGCATCTGCGATAAACAAGGTATAGATTTCATGGTAGAACACGCAGATGAACATACATACATACAGGGGCAAGCAGTATGTGAGACATGCACATATGCTCATGTTTGCCTTCGCGCGCTCCTGAGCCACATTGCGACATTTGCAGCATACCCTCGCACACAAGCCTGAGGTTGTCCCTCCTTCACTGATGCTGGCTACCACAATGGCATCGCCTGTTGCTCGAAGTCGCTGGTATTATTGGGTTCTTCATGACATCGTACACCGCATCCGCTCTGCATCTGTGCTGCCTCCTCGACTATCCATGTCCTCAGACCACACACCGTCCATGAAAACGTGTAGTTCCGCCTCAGGAGCTCAGGAACTTGCGGTGGTAAGGAGAGAGAGACGGAAGGAAAGAGCGTCGTCGTCTAAAATGAGCCCGCTTAGTCATTGGCTCCACTTTTCCATTGACCTCACTTCTTGTTCGTCTCGCTCATCCTCAATCATCTGCTCGCACCAACGCAGCAGCCTGTACACCGACGAGGGCCCGTCACAAAAAATATGACAGGTGTCGTTCATCAGGATGTATACAGACAAGGTTGGCTCCATCTGCACTCCCTCGGCATCGACATCTCCCAGCCATCTTTGCGGGGATACTGATTCTCATTACTCCCGAAACTACTACTACCGTGGCGAAGTGCACAGTAATCTACTTTCCTACGCTCTCTCTGGTATAACGTCTCCTACTCACGTTGCACCTCCCACATTCCTCTCAACATGGCGCAGAAAGTCACCGTAGCAGACATAACGAAGCACGCCACGGCAGACGACTGCTGGATCTTGGTCAATGGCAAGGTATATGACCTTACAAAGTTTGCGCCAGACCATCCAGGCGGCCCGGACAGTGAGTAGGAATGTTGTGCTTTGGTGCATAGCTCACAACTTGCAGTGATCTGGAAGTACGCCGGGAAGGACGGCACCAAGACCTACAACACCTACCACTCCGCCGAACTGATCGAGAAGTCTCTTTCTGACGCCGAAAAGAAAGGCGAATTCGACGAGTCAACCATGACATTGACCTGGCTCGCTGCACAACAAGAAGCGACGCCATCTGAAGCCGACCCGAACGAGAAGCCGCCTCTGTCGTCCATTATCAACCTCGACGACTTCGAGCAGGCCTTCGCAAAAGCCGGAGCCCAAAAAGCCAATGCCTACATATCTGGCGCCTCTAATGATCTACTTACTCTGAACGCCAACAAGACTTTCTGGCAAAAACTCTGGTTTCGGCCTCGTGTGATGCGCAATGTGGATGTCGTATCCACGAAGATGAAGATGATGGGCTGCGAGGTTGCTATGCCTGTTTGGATCTGTCCCATGGGTATCGCCAAGACAGCTGGTCCGGAGGGCGAGCGAGCGCTTGGTGCTGGTGCTGCAGCAAGTGGGATCGTGCATTGCATGTCGACTGCTGCCTCTATGGGAGTCGAGGAGATTCTCTCGAGTGCGCCGAAGACGCATCCGTTTTTCTTCCAGCTGTATGTTGATCGGCAACGGCATAAGACTGAAGCTGTGCTTGCGCAGCTGAATAAGCTTGATCAGATCAAAGCCTTGTTCATTACAGCAGATCTTGCGGTGGTCTCGAAGCGAGAAGCAGACGAGCGGATTCGAACGCAGGAGATCACTTCTGTATACTCCAGTCAAGAAAAGTCACGGATCGATAAGAAAGGTGCGGGCTTGGCAAGAACTACTGGCGGCTTCATCGACCCAGCACTCAACTGGGACGACATTGCATGGGTGCGGAAACATACCAACCTGCCCATTGTCATCAAAGGTATCCAGTCTGCGGCAGATGCTCGTATGGCAATGGAGATGGGCTGTCAAGGTATTGTGGTTTCGAATCATGGCGGGAGAGCGTTAGACAATGCACCTGCCACTATTCTTGCGTTACTCGAAATCCGGCGAGATTGTCCGGAAGTGTTCGACAAACTTGAGGTGCACATCGACGGCGGTGTACGACGAGGGTCTGACATACTCAAGGCAGTCTGTCTCGGTGCTCATGGTGTGGGCGTCGGTCGACCGTTCCAGTGCTCAGTGCTGTATGACACGGAGGGTGTTGAGACTGCGGCAGCGAGTAAGTGTCCTTTTCGATATGAATATCTACCCATGCTGACTAGTCACGCGTGTGCAGTCATACAAGATGAGCTCGAGACCGCAATGCGGTTGTGTGGTGTCACTGACCTGGAGAAGGTACGAGGTGACATGTCATACCTCAACACTTCCGAGCTCGAGCAGTATCTGCCCAAGCCTGAGCGGAAGTCGTGGTTCGCTGGACTGCGGGCACGACTGTAAGACTTCTTTATAATAGCGTACATGCTGGAGTCAGTGCGGAACGCTGCCGAGCTTCCTATTGCTCTCTACTCAAGCTGCTGAGTGTTATGGTGGACTGCGGTATCAGACTTCGATGCCTATTATCATGAAGTAGCATGTTCGCACCAAGCTGTTATTCTTGGCAGGACCGTAAAGCCGAGACTTGACCAAGATGCACAGTTCTGCATACATTGATTGAGCAGTGATCTCGCCAATGTCGAGTACAATTTGTGCACACCATTAGTCTGACTATGAGCAGCATGACACGACAACGGCGGCAAGAACCTGGCACGTCCTGCAGCACTGGTCTGATCGATGGTAGAGCAGCCGTGGACTTCCATTTGCTTCGGAAGGCTGAGGATGAGACCTTGCTTCCCGAAGTACTGACACGAAGCCAATCATACCTCGAAGGTGCCCGGCAAAGCCGAATAGATTCTTTGTTGGTGCAGCACAGCACGCTATCTCAATAAACATATGGAGCCAGCTGCTCTATCCTTGGACTACTCCGCCTTCTCAGCAGTCGAACGTTGCGGGTATCCATCCTCACGCTGGTGAGCGAAGTCGAGATTATGTGAGGCTGAGTGCTTGATGTCTCCGAACTACCATCCCGATCGAGTAATTGTACAATTGCTCGTCTTTGAGCTCATGAGCTACATATACGCGACCGTCCTGCTGTAGATATCTCTTCCACTCACTACAACATCCATTACATCGTTCTCAACTCAATCTCATCCATTTCCTTGTTTCCTTTGTATCACTTCATTCGTTCATATCAAAAGCAGTCGACATCAACTCAACATACCCTCTCAATCCACAACCCAGCGACCGACAACATGAAGAACTGCACCATCGCCGCCACCGTCGCCGTCCTGCTCTCAACTGCGTTAGCCGCCGCAGTCCACAAGCGCGACGACGTCTCGGACAAATTAGCGCAGGTTGACACAAACGCTCTGGTCATCGCAGCCTTCCAGTGGCACAGCGACACCGCAGCCGTCTCCGCATTTCTCGACAACGCCGCCCAAGCCATTGCCAGCGGACAATCCTTCGATCTCACAGGCGATGCTCAGTCGGCATTCGGCTCGGAGACCAACGAGAAGACGCAGAAGGGAGCCATCGAAGGCTTCATCTGCCTGGACTCTGCCTGCGACTCTGACATCAGCTTCACCGGTATTGGCGCTGCTAAGATCGAGCTCGAAGGCGGAGCTTTCCAAAGCGTTCTAGACCAGCTCAACGAAATCAGCTCTGCTCCCGAGGGCACCAGTGCTTTGGACGTTGCGAACGCCATCAGCATAATCGTGAGTCGGCAGCTCTGAGACACTCAGAAAAGCAGATTGGAAGGCTGACGTACTCGCAGAACAACGGCAATTCTACCACAGATGGACGCTGCGCTGGTGTGCTGCCTGCCATCGATCTGTACTTCAGGAGCGCTGCGGACGTACTCAAGCGTATAATCCCCGGCGATACTACTCTGGACGGGCTTACGGCTGCCCGTCCCGCAGCTTGCAATGGTATCTCGGCACTGTCACAAGTCTCGTCGTGAAGAGCGTAGTCGATGGAGGTCGTTGTTGCGAGCGGATTATGGGGTCGGGTTTCGAGCCTTTGGAGGTTGGCCGCATTGCGTTGGAGTTCTGTGTTGGTTTGTATTGACTTATGAGGATACGATTATTTACACGCTCGTTCAGTTCAAGGTGAATGACGCCCTGCGCAAGCCGGTTTATGTAGAAAAACATACTTGAGAGAGATCACACTGCCGTATCATCCTCGTAGTCTCAGTCTCTCACTATCTTGATCGTACATTCTCCTCACGAATATGGCAGATGTGCGGTGTTGTTGTATATTGGAGGTAGACCGAATATCAAGGCGGTACTTCACGAGAGCAAATGCACTGTACCAAGTGCCTGCCCTCACAACAGCCATGTGAGTTGTCGCGCCAATCGGGACGTCCTATCCGGCGATCCTCCATCTGTTCACCAATTATAATGCAGTGACAAACAAGTCCGATGTACTCTCATCCATCACACCCATAGGACAGACTTAGTGGCAGCTATCGGTAGCTCTCCGGAGCTAGTGCTGTCAATACAACAAATCGTACACTCTTACAGCTAGAACACTAGGGGATGTGGTCTAATGGCAAGATACCGCTGCATGTTCTTCCCTGGGGAGTTTACTCCCTGGGTTTCCAGTCCAGTAAACCAAGGTTTAGGGGTCTCGACGAAAGTCTGCGGTGATACTGGTTCGAGTCCGGTCGTCTCCATTTTTATTTTGGCTTTTTGGACATTAGCAACGTTCACTTTGCTAATCTCAGGAGGAGACTGATTTGAATAGCACACTGGCACCCTCACTCCTTGTCAAACATCTCACGGATAAGGTCTGCATAGCGTTTAGAGACACGGCATAGGAGAGGAGGGGAAAGATGAGAGCGACCGGGTATCCGGCGCACAAATAATGATTTTCCAGAAGCGATGTTGTGTGACCTAGACTGCATCGTGACCAGACAGCTGAGATGCGCACTCCTCGTTACTCGGATCTCCAGCAGTCTTCATGGCTTGACCTTTCAGCAGCGTCATGTAAGTTTCGAATCTCCTTCCCGATGTCCTGCAGAAATGGACATGTCGCTTGATTCGCTGTGACAGGATCCTGGAAGACCTTAGCGAACAGGCTCGTGTCTGGGCTTCGCTATTGGGGTTGTTCTGCTCCAGGTAGTCATCAAAACTATTGAAGAGTACCATGAACCAGAACCAGAAGACTGGAAGGAAGTGAAGTCGTTGAAGCTCGGGCCAAGCCAAACTCAATCTCCGTTGCCGCCGACTTGAGGTCATCACGACCACCGGAACTCTGTTGGTGAGTAGAGCAAACACTCTCTCCAATTGCGCCGACTTCGTTCTTTGATGATCTGGTATCGGAATCTTGTTGCCCTCAACTTTATCAGAAATCATTTCGACGTCGGACACGGTGGCAGGAACATCTAGCTCCTCCAAGCCACCTTCGATTCGCACGACCAGACATTGACAGAGCGAAGTCAAGCTGGCGGAGTACTACCACTCACTGAGGACAAATGGCGCATCTTTTATGACATCCGCCTTCTCACGGCCTGACATTTCTCGCTCGGTCACTCCCTCACCGACCAAAACCCAGCATCCGCCTATACCGCGACTGGTAAAGTCCAGCTCCTCTCCTCACATCAACAAGAGCATGGCCGCTGTTGCCGCGCCACAGCACCCCATGAGCGCTATGCGAGACGGTCACGCGATGATGGACACCCGGACGCCGTCGCCAGTAGGTCGAAATGGCAGTATGGACAGCCCTTTGGCGGCAGCTCCGGAGTCAGAGGCATACAAGCCTGATCTGAGTGCTGAGGTGGCTATGCTAAGCACGAAGCTGGTGAACGCGATCAACTATCAGACGAACTTAGACGACTCGCTACAGCAGACACGGCATGAGCTGGAAAGCACGCAAAAAGAGCTTGCGCGGGTACGGCGGGAGAAGAAGGAGGTGGATGATCTGGTCGCAAGTGGGACGCTGATTAGGAAGAGCTACGCGGACAAGACGATTAATGCTTTGCGGGCCGAGCTGGAGACCGAGAGAGCAGCGAGGATGGAAGCGGAGAAGTCGAAGAAGCAGACGGAGGGCGAGCTGGAGAATTTGACCACTGCATTATTCGAGGAAGCGAACACTATGGTTGCGGCAGCAAGAAGAGATACGGAGGCTGTTGAGAGGAGGGAGAGGCAGGTGAGGACGCAATTGGAGGATACAGAACTCTTGCTTGCGAGTCAAACCGAGCAGTTGCAGGATTTGAAGGGCGTGATGGAGCGACTGGAAGAGCGGCAGAGCGAGTACGATGTTGGAAGAGGAGACTTGAGTATGCCGGTGACACCTGTCGATGCGCGGACCGCGGCTTGGGATGCTGCGTTGCAATTCAGTCCGACAGGAGGCGCGGCTGCTGAGCTTACGCCTGATCATCCGCTGCACTTCTCGCATCTCCTGGCGCCGATCATGAGAACGGATATCGCATCCTACCTCGACTTCCGGGAACTATTAGCCCTCTCACGGCGAGCTTCACCGCATTCGCGCCAAAGCAGCAGCAGCACGAACCTCGCGTCCTCCAGCCAAACGAACCTCGCTTCCACTTCGGCCGCAGCGACATCCTCGCCCAGCCTTCCAGGTTCTTTCTTTTCAAATTCGACGAATAATAGTCCGTCATCTGGCACTTTCAACACTCAATCTAGCTTCCCGCCTCTAAAAGACAGCAAGTTTTACAAGCGTGCTCTAGCAGAGGACATCGAGCCCACTCTCCGCCTCGACCTCGCTCCTGGGCTTAGCTTTCTCAGCCGGCGGAGTGTTCTCTCGTCACTTCTGGGAGGCTCACTTGTTGTCGAGCCCTTCAATGCCCAGATCAAGCAATACGGTCTCGGGGCTGTATTTGGCTGCGCATTATGTGGCGAGACCAGGAAAGTTGAGCCATTTGTACGGAGACATCGGTTCCGTACTTCCGAGGACGATGGAGCGCAAAGATATCCGTTGTGCGATCACTGTCTCGGCCGGATACGAGCGACTGGTGACTTTGTTGGCTTTCTGCGCATGCTCAGAGACGGCCATTGGAGGTGCGACGGCGAGGGTGACGAGAAGAGCGCGTGGGACGAGGCTACGCGATTGCGCGAGAGAATGTTTTGGGCAAGGCTGGGTGGTGGCGTGGTGCCGGCTAGTCAGTTGGTTAGGAGAGATATTAGTGCTGGTAGTCCTGAGAGTGCCAGGGGTGTCAAGAGTGCACGGCATAGTCTGGAGAGTATACCAGAAGCCTCAGCAAGGGAGAATCTGGAGCATGCGGCGAGCTCGGTGACTGTGACGGAGACGGAGCTCGCGGTGGCGGAGGATGATCACTTGAAGGCTGCGCCGGTGCAGACTCAGCGAGATCGGAGTACGAGTAGCATCGCACGAGCGATCATGGGCACGTCGTCGGGTGTGCTGGCGACCTCAAGGCCGGACGTTCAGCCCGAGATGCAGCAGCAACAGCCAGCGGAGTCTGATCACGAAACCCTCGAAGCACCCGAGACCGACGACGAGCCAACTACGCCGATGTTTGAAGATGCGCAAACCGACAGCCAAGAGCAGCAAGCCGCAGCGGACGAGCAATTGCAACGAGAAGCGACAAGTGCGATTCAATCCGATATACCGACAGTGCAAGAACCAACACCCGATCTCGCGCCTCCAGCAGAGAAGCCAATTATGGCTGATCGAAGACCTTCGGGTGTTTTGGCAAGGGTGAGGGCTATGGAGGCTAAGGCACAGGAGAAAAAAGTGCCCGGTGGATTTGAGTGAATGTTGTGATTCTTTGGACAGACGATTGGTATATGTACTATATGGGATGGAGTGTGCGATGCACACGCAGTAATGCTGAGATGCTTGTATGGTCAATGTAGTTGTACGAGACGCACATGGCTACAAAAGATGTCTGCCGTTTGCCAAGCAAGCTAGCGTTTCTCGTGCATGAACCTAAGCATGTGAAAATGATGTCAGAGGTGGTACACAAACACAAACAGGACTTCAATTGTCGAGACTTTCAGAAACATCAACGCTCATCAACCACAAACAACACATCTCGAAAACGAACGACTCTACACAACATGTCGAAGTCGAACACCGCCAAAGTCAAGGAGGTCGCCGAGCATGAGGTCCAACGCGTGAGGGAGATCGCAGAGGAAGGGGCGAGATCTGGAGCATACCTCTACCCTCTGAAGGCACGCTTTAGACCCGATGTAGGCTTTGGCGATATGGCTAACGAGAAGTAGGGCATCTACTACTTCGCAAGCCACAAAGATCTCTACAAGCCCCTCCTCTCCAAACTGGCTCCTACCTTAGGTCTGGGAGCAGGCATCACGGTGTTCATGTTTCTGTCTGTCTACCTCATCTACTGGATACTTCCGATAACTTGCTGACACTTCCCAGCTTCACCTACCTGCCGCAGCTCGCCGTCATGTTCTTCACCTCCGGACCTCTGGCCGCCATCACCGCCGCTCTCCTCGTTCTCAGCGAGAGCAGCACGCTTACCATGGTCTTGTCCCGAGCTCTTCTCATCGAGGACAGTCTCATCGATACCTTTGATGGCACGCTCATCGGTAAAGGTCAGACCATGCTCGTCGAAAAGGACCGTCAAGTCAAGTCTGGCGCTGCTGGAGATGCTATCGGAAGGCTTGGAAAGTTGATGACGAAGCCATTTCAGAAGTGAGTCAAGCCTGCGTTGAGTTGTGGATGGCAGCTGAATTTCTGTGCAGATTCACACCTACAGCCATCGTGCGCTACTTCATGTACTTGCCGCTCAACTTCATCCCTGTCATCGGCACTGTGGCGTTTGTGGCTCTGCAGGGACGCAAGAACGGTCCCTCAGCGCACAATCGGTACTTCCAGCTCAAGGGCATGAACGCGAGTCAGAAGGAGAAGTTCGTTGAGGAGCGGAAGGGTGCTTACACGAGGTATGTCGTACCCAATCTAGCCTTTGACCTCTTTGCTGACTGTGTGCACAGCTTCGGTGTGGCCGCAACACTGCTTGAGATGATTCCCATTGCTGGCATCTTCATGGCCTACACGAACACATGCGGCGCTGCTCTGTGGGCTGCGGATCTTGAGCAGAATGCCGGAACTGCACCTGCGCTGAGGGAGCAGGCTAAGAAGGCTGCGTAAGCTTGAACACCAGATGGACACGAAAAGACGATGCAACGAAAGATTATGCTTGACGCTGCATAATGAGGAAGCAACCAAGGCTGCGTGCAGCAACGATTTGCCGAAAGATGTCTGGCCAAAGGTCAGGACTAGTACGACGGACACAACATCCTCGTCGCTATGAGTTATGCTGCTGAATGCGAGCTGGTCGAGTTGAAAAACGCGAGAGTTGATGGACGCAACAGAACAGCGAAGAATATATTAACAACAGCATGCAAATGCGATGCTGATGCCCAAAAGTAAGCCTTCAAGGCCGTCAAGAACGAACGATGAACATTCACGACTTCCTCCTCCTCCACCCACTCTTATCAACCATACCGCTCTGCCAAGTGCCGGTCTCACTTCCGACACAACCCCAGTCTTCTGCCCCGCACAAACTCCTCGCCAAGCTTCCAATGATGCGTACCTGCATGTCAAGCACGACTTCCGTGTGGTGGTGGGGTTGTCGGTGCACATGCCCGCCATGTATGTGACACGCGAGTGACGGTAAGTATATAGCCAAAAGACAGGTAAGTCAAGCTCCTTATATCTCCTCTGGTC